TATAAAATGTTTTTGGTTCCCCTTCTTCTCTAAATTCCATGTACTTCTTTTCAATATCTGCTTTCCAGGAGGCTCTGAAAGATTGATGGAAACATTAAATCCAAAAACTGAAAGAGAAGAAAGGAAATGAGTCTTCAGTCGACTTTAGAGGAGATACATTGCTTAATAGATACAGGCAGGAAACAATGATAGTGCAGTAAATCCCAGATTAATTATACGAATTCAATAGACTTTGGGGCCAATGCATATAGATGAACCTTTTTTATAAAGCACCGTAATTTTATGATTTTTTTTTTAGCACTAGACAATAAATTTACAGGCATTAGTACAGAAAAAATGATTGTTCCCCTTTACTGAAAGCAAAATTATTCTGCTCTGTGATAAACCAAACCTGTTAGATCTCTATCCTCATATCTTTTATCTATTGATGTCCCACAAATCTGTGCTTTATGTTTTCTTGTACAGTCAGCAGTATACTTCAAATGTTGCAATTCTAAACTAAGTAACAAATCTGCGAATTCACAGTGATACCCTAAATGATCCAAGATATGTCATTTTAAGTGTTAAAATCAATATGTATTTTGGTTCATTAGCTAAATACATAATGGCTATTTCTAGCATCTCCACAGACTCTCTTTTTAACCAATTTGTAGTGTGATGCCTGGCCTGAAGCACTTCTATTTTTAGTTCTAATGGAAGAGTCTTAAATTGCTTATTTTCTGTTTACTAAAGTTATCCTGCTTGTTACTATGGTAACTGTGACAAGTGTTCTAGCTCACTATTTTATTAAATAAATTTAAGTTGTAGCTGAAGACTGTGAAGGTGCAGCATGTCATTCTTAAAACACACTTTCACACATCAGTAATTTCACATTTGTAGAAAATATGAAATTAATTATAAATAAGATCTTCTATATTACAAGTTTGGGAGGCTATCCACATTTCAAAATCTGAATCATAACTAGCACATGTGCTCCTCCAGCTTACAAAGTCTATGTTCTAAAAGTGTTGTTGTAAATGAGTTCCATGAAAATTAGAATATGTTCAGCCGTAGGAATAATTTTACAAATAATAATTACATCTCCGGGCCCACCCTCAAAAGCCCTTCAGCCCGTGATGTCTCAAGATATAGCAATATAGCAGGAGCCTGTGTGCTCAGCTCTGGCAGCAGGAGCCATGTTATAAGGGTGAGGAGACAGTACAGAGTTTTCTCATGCTCATTTTGTTTTACACAATCAAAGCATATTTGGGGCACAATTTTGGAATGCTGGCACCCACTGGCCTTTGTGGCTGTTGGGGCCCCCAACTACATCCTGTTATTTGCCTTAGCCCATACCTCCAGCCTCCTGGCATCCTTTCATTCTCCTGCATCTTCCTCTGGAGTCTGTGCCAGGCCCACCTTGCTCCCACCCTGCTCCTGACTCTATACTGAATCATTGCTGTCCTCAAGAGTCAAGGCGGTCTCAATCAGCTGTTTAAAAAGAAAGCAATTGGCCCAGCCAGTGTGGCTCAGTGCTGAGCATTGACCCGTGAACCGAGAGGTCACTGGTTCGATTCCCGGTCAGGGCACATGCCCAGGTTGTGGGCCAAATCCCCAGTGGGGGGCATGCAGGAGGCGGCCAATTGATGTTCTCTCTCATCGATGTTTCTCTCTCTCTCTTTCTCTCTCTCTCTTCCTCTCTTTCTAAAATCAATAACGAAAAAATAAATAGAAAGAAAGCAATTGGGCTGAGCATTGTCTCCGGGTGTTTAGTGACTTCCTTCTGCTCCAGGAACCCAGACAAAGAGCCCATCCTCAGTGCAGGCGGTTCAGGCAAGAAGTGTATGAGTGGGGTCCTGGCTTTAAACAAGGCAAGTGCAGAACATTTGCAGAGGTGTGAACAGGGTTACAAGAACCACTGAGGAAATTCTGGGCACCCAGGGACTAGCATTACCACTCTTGGAAGGGCTGCCCTCTAAGACCTGTGGCCATGGCAAGTTTGGGGCACTGTCTGTTTTACTCTCCCACCCTTCTGCCTCTTGCCAATGACTTTCATTAGCCAAATCCACCCAGCACCCAGAGGCCAAGAGGGCCAGGGTCATGTACCTCAAGGAAGTCAATTGCTTTGGGACCTGGAGTAACACAGAAAAAAGCAAAAGATAGATGAGGAGGGGGTGAAAAGAAACTGCCATTTGTGACATCATGGATGGATCTTAAAACTATCATGCTAAGGGAAATCAGTCAAACAAAGAGTCAAGAACTGTATGATTTCACTCATATGGGATATAGAACTGAAAGCAACAAATGAAGAAACAAGATGAACACACAAAAACTCATAGACACAGACAACAATATGGTGGTTACCAGAGACAAAGGGAGTGTGGGGGTGAGTAAAAGGTAAAGGGTGTCAAATGTATGGTGACAGAAAAGATTTGACTCTGGGTGGTAAACACACAATGCAATATACAGATGAGGTATTCTAACATTGTACACTTGAAACCTATATCAATTTATTAACTAATATTGCCCTAATACATTGAATTAAAAATGTGAGAAAAATGAAAGCAATCAAAATACACACTATTACTTGATGAGAACCCTTTCTGAAGTTTCTGCATTTTAAACATACAATACTTTTGAACCCAAACATATCCCTAACCTGTGAGATTTCTGTCATCATGACTAAAAAAATTATTCAAGACCTTGAAGGCATTAGGCTAAATGAAAGAAACCCTACAGACAAAAAAAAAAAATACCATATGATCTTACTTACATGTGGACTCTAACACACAAACAAACAATAACAATAGCAACCAAAAAAAAGCTCATAGACACAAAGAACAGATTGGTGGTTGCCAGGGAAGGGGGTGGGAGAGATGAACAAAATGGGTAAAGGGGGTCAAAAGGTACAAACCTTCAGCTATAAAATAAAAAATAATCAGATGTAATATACGGCATGGTAACTACATAGTTAATAACATTGTATAAAATATTTAAACGTTGTTAAGAGAGCAGATCTTAAAGTCCTCATCACAAGAACAAAAAGAAAAACTATAACTATATGGTGATAGATGTTAACAAGACACTGATAATCATTTCACAATGTATACAGATACTGAATCATTATGTTGTACACTTGAAACTAATATGTTATCCTTCAATTATATCTCAATAAATATTCAGATGATAAAAATATGAGGAAACTGCTTTGAGATTTTCTCAGTTTTAAAAGTCAAACCCAAGAAGGCAATCAGAAGTCAATTGATTTAAAAGAAGTCAGTTTCTTGACTATGTTCTCTAAATATTGGATCTTGGGTTTTCTGTTTAAGGATGGGTGGTAGTAGTTGATTGTACACTGAATCATCCCTTTGTTAATTTCTGGATGAGTCTAATAAATATATCTAATTACCCCCTATAATTTTGTTTATAAAAGAATTTCATCTTTTTGGTCAAAGGGATCAAATTAACACAATAATTTGCTGACAGATTACAAGCCAAATAAAATTATTATAACTTGGGCATTGAGAATTTTGCACAAAAGAGGGAACAATTATCGGAACATATGTGAAACAGAGTCAATAATTTACTACTTTAACTTCCGGTCAAGACGGCAGCATAGGTAAACACAGTATCGCCTCCTCCTACAACCACATCAAAATGACAACTAAACTACAGCACAACCAGCATTCAGAACCGCCTGTATTGAGCTGAATGGAAGTCCTACAACTACGAAATTAAAGCAGCCACATCAAGACTGGTAGGAGGGTTGGAGGCAAGGACAGGCTGGTCACACACCCGTGTGTGGCGGATAAAAATCAGGAGGGACACCTCAGCTGTGAAGGCCCTCCCTCAGGAGTAAGGGGTCCCTGTCCCACACCAGGTGCCCAGGTCAGGACTCCAGTGCCAGGAAGAGAAGTCCCCATAACTTCTGGCTGTAAAAACCAGCGGGAACTGAGGCTCAGGGAGACTGAGGCTGCTAGAGCTGTAGCTTGAAAGGCACCAGAGACATACAGGGAAGAACTGAGCTGTTTGACCTCAGGACGAGGGCTGGAGGGACAGCTTTCTCTTAGACACACGTGCTATTGGGGGCCTTTGTTCCTTTGGTGATCCCTTCCCTGGAGTGGAGATGGCCCCATATCTGGGACTCCATCAACCTGTCTCACACTATTTGCCCCGCCCTGATGATTCCCTGAGGCCCTGCCCCACCCACCTTTTGGGCCCACCCAAGCTGTTTCCAAAGGCTTTACCATATACTAATTATTATAGTGGTAGGTGTGAAAACAAATGAAAATTGATGTTCTGTTTTTCCATAATGTAGTACCCAAATTTGCCTGCGAATACTCTCTGGCAAATTTTGTGTATAGTTAAGTAAATATATATGCAATAAACATGAAATTAAAAATCAAAGTATTTTCTCAAGAAGTACAATTGGTAGGTGCAAAATAGTCATGAGGATATAAAATATAGCATAGGAAATATAGTTAATAGTATTATAGGAAGTATGTATGGTGCCAGGTGGGTTCTAGATTTATCAGAGGATTACTTTGTAAACTACATAATTGTCTAACCATTATGCAATACACCTGAAACTAATATAAAATAGCATTGAATATCAACTGTAATTGGAAAAAATGCCAATGATAAATGACATGTACTGTATAGTTCCATGCATATATCTTTTAAAATAGAAAAGAATGCAGTTGTTTATGGAGTGATAATTAGTATTTAATTATAGTAAAAACTGGAGGGGAATAATGTGTGTGAAGTTAGTGTGGTGACTGCCCTGGGGAAGGAAAATAATTAATGTTGTGCAAATTCATGAAGTGGAGGTTTCACATATAACTATCATTTATTGCAATAAAAGCATCTGCAATAAGAAATAAAATCAAAGTATTTTTAATTTTATTTCAATGATTATTTAAGATAGACAATTTTATAGGGTTTTATTAAAATTTTTATATTAATGATACTTCAAAATGTTGGCATATTGTTAACCTAATGAGCATTTTTCATTTCCTCAGGGTCTACTTTCATTTGCAACACTCACATAATTCCAGTGAAAAACCAAGAGGGTGTGGCCATGATGTTCATCATTAATTTTGAATATGTGACAGATGAGGAAACTGCTGCTTCTCCAGAGAGGGTAAACCCAATATTACCAGTCAAAACTGTCAACCGTAAGTAAAAGTAACATGTACATAATGTTCTTGATATTCTGCTCTTGTAATAATCTTAATACACTCTTCATTTACGTATTTCAGTTCTCAAAATATGTTTGCATTTTAAGTAAAATAATTTTCTATTAAAAAAGCCATAGCTGGTTACACTTTGGTGTCTTAAAGAATCAACCAGCTGCTTTCTAAGCCATTTGACTTATATATACCATAGTAAACTCAACCAGTCTTCTATTGATGGACATTTATGTTGTTTACAAACAATGCCAGAATAAATTGTGCATATATATTTTCATGCATGTATATGTATAGTTTTGGATAAAAGTATCTTCAGGGTAGGTTTTATAAGTGTGATTCCTGAGTCAAAGTGTAAATGCATCTGTAATCTTTTTAGATACTGCCAAACTCCTCTCCTTATAGTTTGAATCATTTTACACTCTTACAAGCAAAGAGTCAGCCTTCTTGATTTTTTGTCACTATACTAGTATAGCATAGGAAATATAGCTAATATTATAGTAAGTATGTATGGTGCCAGGTGGGTTCTAGATTTAGTACCTCAATTAGTTTTAGTTTGCATTTCTATTATTATGAGTGAGGTTCATATATTTAAGCACTATAGACATTTTTTTTCTGTCAACTGTCCATTTCTTGTATACATTTGTTCCCTTTTTTATTCTTTCAAATTTTAGAATAAATTACAAATTACTTCAGCAAATATATATATTTTTAATCTTTTTCCTGATTTTTGTCATGCAAAGGCATTTTTTTTGGAATATGGCTTAATATATCAACCCTTTTCCTTGTTGATTCTGAATCCTTTCTTGAGTTATATTAGAAAAGCTTTAACCATTCCAAGGTTGTAAGTAAATTCATTTTTAATCTAGAACTTGTACGGTTTTATATTTTAGGATCTCTAGTGCGTTCAAGTTTAGCTTGGTTTACAGTGCAAGGCAGCAACTTAATTTATCGTTTTATCAATGGCTGTCACTTTTTATTGATTAGAATATCTATATTTTCACAAGAAATTTGAGATGCCAAATTGTACTTTAGTCTATTTCTCAACTTATTCTGTTCTGTTGTATCCTACTATCTTAGTGAAATTTCTTAGTTTACAGTAGCTTATACATTGATTCTCATGATTTTTTGAAGTATCTTATCATATCAAATAGAGATTGCTTTACATTTTTCTTTCTGATTATTATACATCTAATAGCTTTCTCTTATCTAATTGAACTGGCTATTCCCTCCAACATGTCATTAAAAAGAAGTTGTCATTGAGCATCATGCCTTATTCCAAATCTTTGTGTGTACATTACTAGAATTCCCAATTAACTGAAATGATGGGATGTGAGCTGAGGTGTATGTGTTTTATAATTTTAAGAAAGGTTCCACTGACATATTTATTAAGAATGGGTGCTGAAATTTATGAATTGCCTTAAAGCATCTGTAGTGCTCTATTCCGTTTTTTAATTTGTATGGCAAATTTTGTAAATGAACTTTACTAATATAAAATCATCTTAGCACATCTGAAAAGAACCACATTTGGACATGATGTATTTTATTTTGTAATATGCTCTAAAACTATTTTGTCTAAAATTAATATAGAATATTTGCACTGATACAGGGATTCTTTGATATTTGTGTGTTCAATTTCATCATGTATTGGTATCAATATTATAATTCCTTCAAAAAATAATCTGGAGTTTCTTCTCTCTTTTCTATGCTACAAAACTATTTAAATAGTTTGGATATAATCTAGGTTCAAAAGTTAAGTTAGATTCTTTTGTGAAATGATCTAGGCCTGGTAATTATTTGTGGACTAGATTTTTGACAAATTTCTTTTTTTTTTTTTTCCTCCAGAGATTGGTCTAGTCAAATTATTCAGCTCAACCAGTACTAGTTTTGCTAAATTGTATTTCCTAGAAATTATTCTGTAGACTTTAAAATTTTATTTTAACAGAATTATACAAAGCCATCTTTTATATTTTTAAAGATTTTCTCTGTTTCTTTGGTTATTTCCTTTGTGACATTGATCCGTCCTCTATCTAAAATATTTTATCAGTGTTTTCTTTCCCAATGAAGTAATCTTTATTGGTTTGTTCATTCTTTTCTTTTCTTTTTTTTTTATCCTCACCCGAGGACATTTTTCCATTTTTTGTTCAGATAGAGCGGGAGGGAGAGAGAGGAAGAGAGAGAAAGAGAGAAACATCAATGTGAAGGGACACATCGAGTGGCTGCCACCCACACGACCAACCAGGGCCGGGGACAAACTGCAACCGAGGTACGTGACCTTAGTGGGAACCGAACCCGGGCCTCTCTGTACCGCAGGCCGACGCTTTAACCGCTGAGCCAAACCGGCCAGGGCCATTCTTTTCATTTTAAAACTCACGACTTTTTATTATATTTTTATTTAGTTTTTTATCATTGTAATTTGTTGGCCCTTTTCTATTACATTGGCTTATTTTTATCCTTTCATATTTATATATATATATATATATATATGATCTTAAGGCTTTATATTTTTCTATAAACCTAGCTGTACCCCTATCAATTGAGATATGTAGTATTTTATTATCTTTTGTCTAGAAAATATTTAAATTTTTTCTTTGTTTTTAATTCAAAAATTGTTTTGTATAGAGGCTTTTAATTTTCCAACAGAAAAGATATATTTTTAGGTATTATTTTGTTAGTAATTTCTGGTTTTATCATCTTATAGTTATAAAATAATATTTGTATTATTTGTCTTCTATAATTTAACTAAGGTTTGTTTGTCTTGTAGTTTATTATTTGATCAATTTTCAGAAGTTACCCATGAGAACATGAAAAGAGGTGATATTTGAGAATATTATGTTACAAAAGTTAATATATCTTTTTAAAACTACCTTATTATTATATTGTTTAAATCTATCTTTACTTATTTTCTTTTTCTTTTTTTTATTTAATTATTTATTTATTTTACATATGTCTTAGTTTAAAAGAAGTGCATTAAATTAGGGTATTTCTATTTTTTCTTGTATATCTTCTAATTTTTGTTTTATGAATATTGTTCTGTTATTTATTTCATAGATATTTCCATTTCATAGATATTCATATAAATCATTTTATATTATTTTACAAGTTGGCCTTTACTCCTCTAAGGTGTCTTTTATATTTATTAATTTTCCTTCTAAATTCTACTGTCTTAAATCATGAGTGAGTTTTTCTTTTTCTATATTGCTGTTGTATCTCTGTACCTCCTTTTAGTCTTTCTTTGTTCTAGATGTATTTTTTTATAGGTTGGTCAATTAGGTTTTTCTTCAAAGAGAAAAATACTACTTTTTAAAATTTATAACTAAAATAGCTGTTTATACTAATTGATATAACTAATGTGTTTTGTCTTAATACGTTTTATGTTAACTATATCTTAAATTATCTTATTATACTATATTTTCTCTGCTCTTTTTCACCATGTATATTTTGCTTGTTTTATCCTGTATTGCTTTCATTTTATTTTTTCAGCAACTTTTGTATGTTTCTCTAGTGGCTATATCTTTACTATGAGGAAGAATAAAATTAGGCCCTGGCCGGTTTTGCTCAGCGGTTAGAGCGTCGGCCTGCAGTCCAGAGAGACCAGGTTCAGTTCCCGCTAAGGGCATGTACCTCGGTTGCAGTTTGTTCCCGGCCCTGGTTGGGTTGTGTGGATGGATGTGTCCCTTTCATGTCGATGTTTCTCTCTCTCTCTCTCTCTCTCTCTCTCTCTCTCTCTCTCTCCCTCCCACTTTGTCCGAACAAAAAATGAAAAAACATTAAAAAAAAAAAAAAAGAATAAAATTAGCACTTATTTCTTTTTCTCCCCTTTCCACCATGTTATTCTAGTCAATAATATTATTTTAATGCTCACCTTTGTACTCTTAAGTATACCTGGTCTTTTATCATGCAATTTGTCAGTTTAAATGATATCGATTTAACTGCTGCATATTACCAACAAGACACTCAGTAAGCTTATTTTATGTTTTCTTCTTTCTTCTTCCATTTTGTTTGCTTGTGATATTTTTAGCTTCTCAAATGTGTAATGTTTACATACTTCTCACTTTTGTTATGGTTTTAAATTTCTAAAGAAATGTATTCATTGCTCAACACTAGTGTCTGCAAATATCACTTCTTGGATAAAGTTTGTTCCATTCAGGAAATGTTCATGGGTAAAATATTCTCAGAATTCTTTTGTGTTGAACACTAGTTTCTGTACTCGAAGAACAACTAGGTAGATATTTGTCTCACACTTGATTGTCTCGTGTACCTTATAGATATTGTTCCACTCTTTTCTTGCATCCTATGTTGCTAATCTAAAGTCTGATATCAACCTACCTGACTGTCCTTTGTGATTTTAATATGTTTCCCAGAGTCCCAGAAAAGTTTAAAAATAAACTAATAATAGGAGACTTGAATATTCTTCTTTCAAACCAAGGGAAACTTTTAAAGTCTAAAAAATTGTTATAATCACATGTCCACCTTTGACTATTCTAAGTCAGTTGTCCCAGATACAATATATAAATTCAATTCATCTTTTATTTCAGAAAATGTTGTTATAATTTTAAATATTCATATTATTTTTTGTTTGTTGTTTTTCTTCTTCAGGGATTCAGATAATATATATATTGTACCTACTTTGCCTGTCTTTCTTATCTATCACTTCCTCTCTGGTTCTTTTTTCTCTCTTTATTTCTGTTTTATTTTCTTGGCTTCTCTCATTTCAATCTCTGTTTCTTATGGGTATTTTGTAATGCGGCCTTAAATTTTTAGTTGATTTTCTTTCCTGAATTCAAACCTATCATTTTTTTAGTTCTTGCTTTGCATTTTTTGTTTGTCCAGTTCTTATTGTGTTTTTTAATTTCTGATTTGTAATCTTACTTCATTTCTTTAATTGCTGGTTTAAATAATTTTAAATTTATTTTGGTGTGTGATATATATCTTCTGTTTCATAACTAGATTTTTAGCATACTTTCTTTATAAAATATGTTTTGTTC